CTGTTCTTTCTTTTCTCCCCCATCTCCTTGTTGTTTCTGCCTACTCAGAAAGAAAATATGTATATGCTCGTGTACAGATGTACACACCGCCCGTCACAGCAGACCCTGTGAAAGCCTGATTCCCTGTGTTTTGTTTTTGTGTCCAAGGCTGAGCTTCCATGCGGATTCTCCGAAGCCCAGAAAGGCTCAAGGTATTTCCATCAGTGGGGCATCACCTGAGTTGTCATCCTCTGTTTAGCCCCCCTGTTCCCATTATGCCTGTAAAGGCACTTCTAAGTCCTTCTCCCTCTCCTCTGAGTGGAACTGGTCAGCAGAGCCAAAAGCTGCAGCAGAGAAAGGGAAAAATCAGGCAGGCAGAGCTGTACACACATGCTTGCACGTGCGCAGAGAGGCAGCATGATCACACGCCTTATTTCTTTAGGAAATCAGATTAAAAACCAATTGACTCTTTGCCAACTGTAACCAAGTCTGAACCATTAGCTGGCACTGTCTCCACTCGAGGAAGAAAACCTCGTTTGGAGAATGCAAGTGGTTTTTAATCTCAGAGCCTGGAAAATAGTTCATCTCAGCAACATGGCAGGTGCTCTTGTCTCTGGATTTTCTCTAGTGTCTTTCTCCCACTATCCCTGCACACTCAATTTTTTAAAATTTTTTTTTAAAGTTGTGCAGCACCAGGAATACATCACAAAAACACGCATGAGCACACGTTCTTTACCTCTAGGCATTTACAAATGTAATAGAAAACAAGCAAAAGGAGGAAATATAGGTCAATCAACCTAAGCATTTACGCGGCCTTCATTGCTGTGCCATCCGAACATTTTGTTAGTCCCAGGACTTTTCTGTGCCATTATTATTGTTTTATGAAATTTCATTTTTGTTAGTCCCGGGACTTGCATGTGGCTTTTTTATTATATTAAGAAATTTCATTTCCTGTCATCTGCTGGGATTAAACTTTGATGGGAAGACACGGGTTTACGAGGCTTGCGGTGACAAGCCTGACCCCAGAAGATGAGGTGTAAAACCCTCCACCTCCGGCGGGCAGTCAGGGAATGCAGGACCCCAAGCCTGGAGATGTAGCAAGCAACAACTGAGCGTGGGATACCGGTCTCATTACTCCCATGTGCTCTATCCCATCTGTAAAACCCACTCCCGTGGGACACGGCAATACACCGAAGTGCCCCGACTCCCCATTCCTTGCTCTGCTAGATCCCGTTCTTCTTCCCACAAGGCTTGCAAAAGCATCTCAGATCCCCCTCTAGATACACTGCCCTTCACCAAATGATTGCAGCCCATATCTGCGACTTCAATGCTTCTCAGATTTTGAATTCACTTTTCCCAGTGGTTTCCCCTCCGCTGCCTCCGTGCTGCCCATGTAACGCCACGTTTCACAAAACGCCTCTTTGTTTGCCATTTTCCTGCCGCCTCCACCACCCCAGCTCCGGTGCTGCCTCAGCTGCTTCAAACCACCCCTACCTCCCCCCAGCTACAGGAGCCAAAGTCGACAGGCGGCCAGTAAGGGGATCTGACCTCCACCATCCCCTGCTAATGAATGCCCTCTCTGGAGGGAGCAGTGAAAGGCGAGGGGGATGGCGCAGAGCCAGCCTGCACGAGCTCAGCGGAGGGGCGCCAAGGAGCCGGGAGCACAGCGTGTTAGAGTCCCCTTCACAAGGAGCTTTTGTTGATGCCACTGGTGCAGCCCGTCAACGGCACGCTTGGCAGCACAGGCTTTTCCACCACTTGGCTGCTGGCTGTATCAGTAGCTGGGTCGTAACCAGAGCGGTGGCTCTGCCAGGACTCTCATGCAATGCTCCAAGGGTGTGCTATCAGCCAGAAGAGGACAAATGTGGACACATCACCATCTCATAGTCCTCCCCCAGCCATGTGTCCCAAGACTTTCTTTTCAGCAAAGGCAGCTGGGATGTTGGACACTTTGCAGGCCATTAGTCCACTTTTAAGACTGGTGGGCAATTCAGTAGGTTGCCCAGGGGGACTTTCCAGCCCAACATGACATCCAACCTTGTCAGTCGAAGTCCACCTCTCTGTCTCTCGGAGATAAACCATCTGCTTAACACTACGAGACACAGAAGGAAAAAGATGTGCTCAGAGAGACTCACGAGGTGCTTTGGGTAAAGAGCCCAACATGAGCACGCAATGTTCTGCATCCGTGACAAAAACAACAGGAAAAACCTGCTCCTGCAGGCCTGCCAAGCTGGGATTTCAACAACAAGTGGCAACATATCAGCTGGCAACAAACAGCTCCTGATTCAGGGAATGATGCACTTTCCCAAAAAGACTCAGGGTTTGCATTTTTTTTCTTAGTAAATGATAACATGCTGGGTGCCACACAGGATGGCTCCTGCCCAAGACTTAACTGATAATGAGGGCATCAAAGGAAAGTGCCAGCTAAAGGATATTTGCCAGCTGCACCATCCTGTACAGGGTGTCAGAATAAGGTAGGACCTGTACATGAGTCCCTGGAAGAGCAGCGTGGGGCCACTCAGTAAAGCGATTTGATGATTTGGACAAGGACATCACCTCATAAGCAGGAAACCTCTGGGGAGACGGAAAAGAACAGCAATCCATCAGTGGAGTGAAAGGGGAGACACTGGGGAAAGAGACACCAAGCACAAACTCAAGCTTCAATGTGTCATTGCCATCTGCAACAGCTCGGCTGAGACCCCAAAGCAAGCTAATGAGAGAACAAGGCTCTGGACTCATGGACCTGCCAAGCAAGGAAGAATACTTTAGAAACTGCATTTTGGAATGCATGGAGGGGACTGTGACATATCTTGTTGGGGTGAGAAATAAATCAGCTACAGCTGGCAGGGCAGGCCATAGCCAGGGTACCACCAAGCATCCCAGCCACTGCAGATGAATGGAAGTGTTGCCTTTGTGTTGTGGGTAAAAAAGTGGGGAGGTTTGGTAGTAAGCCCAATACGAAGAGCGAGATACAGGCTAAAGATGCAGTCTGGTAGCATGGGAGTTGACAATGGCACTACGGCTAAACAAAGAAAACTATAGGCAGAACAGACGCTGGGGAAAAGCAGGAGACTCGGAGCAGGCAAGGCCATGTGCTAGGAAGACTGTCCACAGGGCAGGAGGATCTGCAGTCTCCAACAGGGAGCAGAGCTTAAAGGTATGAGTTGGCTGCCCATGGTGCTGCCCATGACACTCGTGATTCATTAAAGACCTATCACCCTCATTTCAAAGATGTATATAATTTCTGTCAACTTCATGTCACCAAGCAATGTCATCAATGAAACTTTCAGAAACTTTGCAGGGTTGTGTTTTCATATCAGAACTGGAAGAAATACAGCATGACAGGGAAGAAAGCAGGCTTTTCTGGCTAAATGTTTTTGTCTCCCAAAGACTGCACGCATAAGGGCCCATCACAGCACCCCTCTCATTTCTGGGAATGCAGAATATCCACTAACACACCTCTACAAACACCTCTGAACACGCATACACACCTGTTTACCAAGACTGGTTACTTACATAATGTTCACTCGCCTTTGATTCTTCCATTAGGGTTAGAAGTTGCTTCTCCTTTTTATATTTGTATCTCTAAGCCCCATCAGCAATAAATGCCCAAGCACTTCCAAAGTGTTCTGACAAATTCCTCCAGCAGGCACATAATATCTTCCCAATTTTACAGATGGGGAAATTAAAGCATAGACAGAGGTTAAGACAGCTAATTGCCTACGGACACGAAGTGAGTCAGTAGAAGAGCTGGGAATTGATCCCAGGAACCGTGTCTTCCATTCCTCTACTCCACCCACCAGTCAGTACACCCTACCAGATGGTTCTTATCATTGGACATATGGACTAAATATTGCTAAGTTGGTGTAGAAGATTTGCTATTTAATTAAATGTCCTGTCTTCCATCTCCGTAGGATGCACAGGGGATACTCCAGCCAGAATCCCATCTGGACCCACTCAAGAAATGTCTTCATAACACAAACAAAGCCCTAGGCAAGCACAAGAAACATTCCCAAACCTATCAACCTGCCCTGCAACACAGACCCCAACAAGGCCAGGAAGCAGGCTGCGACTCAGAAGCCTTGGAAGAAGTTCATGGTTGTCAAAGTCTGGCTTCAAATCATGTATGAGCCACCAATTAGGCTGGGAACTACTTTGTCATGTGAAGGCTCTTCCTCCAGCCTTCACTGGGCACCACCAACGCTGTCCAACTGGAGATACCAGCAGAGTCACAAAAAGCAGATGGCACAGAGTCATCTGCTTTCTTCTGGTATCAGCTCTGTCACATCACGGTGCTGGGGTTGGTAGGACAGAGAGACCAGTTCTGCCTGGCAGACATCAGAGGCCTTCTCACTTTCCAATCACTATCAAGGACACTTGAAACAGTGCTCCTAAAGTGATTATTCGTGATGCAGAGGAGGAATCTTCCCAACAGAGAGGCAACAGAAAGAGGCCTTCCACATCGCTGGAGAACAGGTCAGCAATTGTTTTCCCAGCATAGACCTTACATATTTACAGCAGCATTTTGGTCCCCATTCACAGACAGGCACAGAATGGGCACACCTGCCTTTCTGACAGAACCCAAACTAGTTTTGTATCCTTCTGCTCCCCCTTCACACCCTGTGCTCTACACCCAGTGAAACACAAGGGGAAAGCCATGTGTCATCAGGTCCACAAAAAGGATTTCACCCAAGCTCTCCTGAGTACAACTCCCTCAACGCATGGCTGCAGGGAAAAGGCTCAAAGCTCTTCTGAGCAACCTTTAGATGTAATCATGTACTGATAAGGAAAACACATGCATACTTCTGCCAAGCAGAAGCACATACAGGTGAGAACCACCAGACTGTATATCTCTGTTACTCTCTCAACAAACAGAAGAGGGTTGGACAGCATTCTCTTTAGAAGGTTTTGCACCAATACTGACAAAGTAGGAATAAAACCACAACACCTTTCCACGTGTGCTATAAGAGCTGGGCAATCCTGGAAGGTGCCTCCTGCTAGAGAAAAGCGACTGCACGTACCTTTCATCCCAAACTTGGACCGCCGGCCGTACTTGTTGATCATAACAAAGAGGACGACCAAGAGGACACAAGCAAATGCTGCCAGCCCAACCGCTATGGAAACCTGAAAGGAAAAAGCCTTAGAGTCAAGACAGAGGAATTTAGCAGTCTAGAAATACAGCACGTCTGTGCCCAGTTAACCTTTCTGTAGGCTCATAACATCTGCTGCAGCCCCGTGGATATCAGCTGTGGAGGAAAACACGAGCAAAACCAAACGGCTCTAGTACATCTTGGCAGCATTGAGGATTAGGAGGACTGGGAACTCCCTATCAGCGATGTGGTTCTGGCACTAGTTCTCCCCAGCCTCTCACTCCATACATCAGCAGGGAAGGAAGGGAAGGAGGATGTCTACTCCAATGTCTAGGCTCTCTATTGCACGGCATCATGAGCCTCCATTTGTGATACCACCACAATGCCATTATGTCACAGCACTAAAGCTATTCTAACCTGAGCTGGGAACACACAGGAGCAGCAGAAAGTTCTTTAGAAGGAGCAACTCTGTCTCCATTCAAACATCCCTCAGGACAAAGAATGAGGGAAAATAGTACACCACAAAAAGAAAAGAGAAGAAATTAAGTAGAACTGGTTTTTTTCCCAAAAAAACCCCTTTGGTTTTCCTAAAGCCTCTAATGGATCCCTATTCATTGTAATTTTTAGTAGTATTTATACTACAGCAGTGTCCAAAGTCCTTCACTGGAACTGTAGTTTCACTGTATCAGTGTACAAGCAGAGGAAAGGAAACCTCCTTGCCCTAAAGGGTTTGCAGTTCCAGGCTTGTTTTAATATTTATGAATATTTATTTCTTCAAGTCTTTGCTCGAGATACTTTTATTGCATTGACGTAAACAACAATTTCTTTGGCATTTGTCCAATTATTCTCCTGTATAGGGTCTTGTCATGCATTTAGACTTCGCTTCCTTTTACAAAGCTGTATTCTGCCGTAACAGAAAATACATCATTTAACCAAGAAAAAAGTAATTTCATTTTGCAATCCTTTTCCCTGCCCTTGATACATTAGCTACGATATTTTAAAATTTTTATTTTACCACACTCTATTTTCATCTCCCAGCTTGTTGTCTGTGCTTTATATCTAATAATCAGTGCACATTATTACTCCAGTCTCACTGTTCAAAGCTTTGACTTCAGTTATAGGAGGTATTCATTTGGATGACAAATGAAACCAAGGTGGATAGAGTTTTGTTCATTCTGTCGACACCTGGTGGGTTTCAAGATCTTAAAACTTCCACAGAATTAGAGCAATTGTGTAACACTTGATTTTTTTTTCCCCAATACTTATACACAATTTTTTTTCTTTTCTACCTGGATTCTGCAGAAAAAAAAGACAATGCTGAGATCTGGTAAGCTGCAGGTTTTCTTTCCTTTTTCATTTTTGGCATGTCCTGCAGAGCAGGAGAGAGGGCAAACTGGCATTGACAAAATTGAACCAAGCTAAATCTAAGTCCCTCACAGGGGTAAACTTAACTGCTCAATAATAGTATGAAACACACAATTGTCTGTTTGTTTGTTTATTTGTTCTCTGGGTGCTACTCTTTTAGAGTGAGAATTTCTGACCCTGCCAGCAGCAACTTCACAGGATGGCTTATTTTCAAAGAGCTCCCTGGTTCCACACTGCAGACCCAAGAGGATCAGATGGTTCGTGTCAGTATTTTATTTGTCTAACACAAGCCACAAAATCCTTCTGATTGTTGCCTTGAGTGATAAAGGAAGAGATTTTCCTTGCAAACTTCTCAAAACAGCACAGGAATGTAAATACCAAATCATCAATAACAAGAAATGCATGCAAAACAGTTCTACTGAGCAGAGGACAGGACTCACCCCAAAAGTGTCCTCCTCTGGTTTGTGGGTCACAGTGATTGGTGGGGTGGGACTCACTTCATAATCACCGACTGAAACCAAAACACCAAAAACAGAAGGTTCAGTGTGGCTGCTATGGGACTCCCAAGGCATCAGCACATCCTTAATGGCAGTGCCTGAGCTAAGGAGATCCAGTGCACCCCTACCAGAGCTGCAGCTTTCTATTTCAGAAGGCACCAAAATCAACCTTCAGAGATTTCCCTGTGCACATCAGCAGAGAAAACACAGACCAGGACAATGCTGATGTCACTCTAACCTTACAGATGAGAAACATTTGGGTGCCTGGTGTCCTAGGGTGGGTGACCTCCACCGCTGAACCATCTCCTGGAGTTTTCAGAAATCTACTGGGCTAAGTAGGGTTAAAACACGAGACGGACTCCAGCAGAACTTCTTTCAAAGAAACAGTTACTTGGATTTTTTTTTTTTTTTGAGAGGGGGAGGAAAAAAAGAATCTGTTGAGGCAACACTACTGAAGTTGAGTCCTGCTTCTCATCCCAGTCGGCACTAGAAAGCATGTTGTAAATGGGCCATGACAGACAACTGCTTTGGGGACTGGCCAGCCTGCATCTGTTTAAGACCCCTTCCGCTACACCACAACCAACTGGTTAGAGTTTTGGTGATATTTATCTCCAGCCCTGCCATTTAAGACCTCTAAGACTGTCATTTCCAATACAGGACCTTCTTCAGGACAATACTAAAGGGAAATGAGCATCTCCTGGGCTCTAGAGATTGTCCAGCTGATCAAAACCTCCCCAGTCATCTTGCTTATGCATGGGGACACCAGGGCCCTACGCAGCCTCCACCAACCTGCTTTTGGCTTCCTGATTCTTCCTCCAGGAAGATGTAAGTCACAGAGGGGCAGGGGGAAACCACAAAAACAAGACACCCATAGTGTGCAAAGGGCAAGGAGACACTTACTTGAGACAAAGTTGTCCGTACTCTCTGTGGAAAGGACAAAGAGAGAAGCAACACAGTTAGTAGCATAGCAAAGGGAGAGCAATCTCATTCCCAACCTGCCTCATGCACACTCCACCACCCCAAAGAGCCCAGGAAACCAAAACATTTTATATTTTGTCCCGTATGGGCAAATGTAACTGGAAATCGCTGCACGCGTACCAGCAGGACATGTCAGGACGGAGAGCACAGGGGTAATGGCGTGGAGTTGAAACAGGAGGGGAGGGATGCTACTGCCAAAAGAGAGAACAGTTAGCAGCACTCTGTGTGGAGACTTTTGAATAGTCTTAAAACAACCCTGCTTTTACCAGGTGAACAAAGCTCAACAGACACACAGGCTCAGCAGGATGGAAGTGGAGGGAAGACAAGGAAACTTTGCCCAGGGAGAAAGTCCTATATGGACAAGGACCAGCTCCCAGAAGGACAGTCCACCTTGGGACAGGGGGTTAGAGACCTCCTCTGGGCTCCCTGAATAGCTCACTAAGCCACTCATGAAAGCTAATAACACCTGAAATGGCCATGGAGGCTGTAGCTGTCCCAGGGCTGCCTCTTGCCCAAGATAGCTGCACCAGTGCCTGCTGTCAGCCACTTGACTGCTCGAGTCTATTCAGCAAAGCTTCTTCAGCTCCAAAAGGCAGCTGAGACCCCAGACGATGAGGTATAAAGCTCTCGGTGACACTCAGTTTACATAGCATGAGAACAACGTCAGTTTTCAATTCACTCGCCCATGTAAGAAACTGAGCCCAATATTAACTGGAGTTTACACAGCTTTGCTGGCAGAGGGCTCCTGGAAGGACACTGAGACATTTATGCTGAAGTATGGGTGAGGTCTGGAAGAGAAGCGTAAAACAACTCCCAAGAGACAGATGCAGCTTTCCAAACCAGGGGGGAAAAAACCTGAAAAAATATTTTTGTTTCAAGTCAAGCAGAAGAGTAACTCTCTTTGGCTTTTTCCAGCAAAGGAAAATTTAAAAAAGGAAGAAATATTTCTTCTGGAGACTTTTTCCTATTAATGCAGACAGGGTCTAGTCGTAAAGCTCTTGCTGCTTCTACATTTTCCTCTTTCCATTTTTCTCTGCTGGACTAAGCAAATTCAACAGAAACCCACAAAAAATTTTCCCATTAAACCCTTTTTTTCGAAGCACAAAACACAGCCAAGAAATGTCAGCCAAGTAGACTTCTGTGAGAAGTTCCCAAAGAACTGAACACTCATCACGGCAGGGAGATAGGTACATTAACCTTTGTGCATTTAATAAGCAGATGATAGTCTATGGTAGAGATGCCAATGACAACATGCAATGAGATTTGTATCAGATGATGACACAAATCTTGTCCTGGGAGCCACTGCCCTACTTCCTAGAGCCACAACATCACAGAGATGTAGGATATAGCAAGGGGCACATCTCCCAACTCCCATCCAGCTTCTAATAGCACCTTTCTCCTCTCAGTCTGGGAAGCACAATCTGGCACTGTACCAACAAGAGATTGCAGACCAGGGGTTTCTAAAGCAACATGGTCACAGGTCCTTTTCTATGCTGATAGGAAGCTTTCCAAGCACTACACTTTCATTAGTCAAGACTAACAATCTCATCCTGGGTAGCGATAGCAAGTCTTGCAAGCGTGAATAGCTATAGGCAAGAAGTGTCTTGAATAAACCACACTGGGGAACCTTCAATTTGTGGCATTTTCTGAGGGAACCTGCCTTCAAATAGAAAATTATAAACGTCAGCTGCATTGAGGGTTAATGTCAGCTGTGGCAGTGGACAGAGCAATGAACTTCAAGGAAAGTAAATTACAACCTGCATTGGGCTGACAGGGTCTGCCAGGATGAGGAACAGCTTGGGACATTGGATCAGAAAAAATAAAAGAAATGGGTCTGGTCCTGCTGAGAGATGGTTCAGGGTCTGTAAGTACTCTGCACCAACAGCACCTGCAAGACGTGGGTGAAGATGCATTCACAAGGGCAATATTTTACGTGTATTTCACACAAACGGATTCTCCCAGAGCCTTTGACACAAGCAGCTTCTCAAACATCAACGTGCCTTCCCATGTCACAGCACAGCTCAGATCCATTTCCTAAATCAGCTCTCTGGAATAGCAGATCTGCCTCCTTTTCTGGAGGTCCAGCACCTACTTTAAGAGCTGTCCCCATTTCACAGATGGGGAAATTGTGTCCCAAAAGGTGGGACCTGACAGAGCTGAGAGTGCAAACCTGTGCCTCTCCACACCCACCTACATTTGATAAGCTGCTCTTCTGCCCCGACAGCAGGAAACATATATAGGTCAGATAGCCAAACAGGGCATCATCGTTGAAATCAGAATATAAATTTTCCACTCCCATCCATATCAGCTCATTTGTTCAATTGTCAGATCTTCAAGGCAGAGATCTGGGGTTGCATTTATGATATTTGACCTGCAGGAAAACTCTGTGTACATATATGGTGTGATATAAATAATAAATGAGAGTACCATTGGTATTTTTCTATATTTAGCAAACGCCCTATTTTGCTGGATTTTCTTGGGCTGCAGAGGCCAATTTAGAGCTGCCACATTCTCATGGCATCATTCCTGAAGGCAGCAGCATGCACAGATCTTAACTCCATGATAGCCAGCATGGTGTTACAATGACAGAGAGCAGACCAAGACTCTCCATGCTCCTACAGAGGAGACAGATCACCACAAAAGTCTCCACTGCACTCCCCAGAGCTGGATTGTCATGTCCTCAAATGCTTTTTTTTGCAGTTAAGCCCTGAATCGCTAGGGATTACAATGGGGAATGTCAAACCATCAGATAAGAAATCACAGCAAACTGATGCAATGCGACTAATTGAGCCATCGCATCTTTTGTAGACCCATCATCCTGGAATTGCACATGTCATATTTAGAAAGGAAACAATCCCAACGCTGTTGCATCCAGCTATAATCATTTCACAAATGCAAGCTAGAAGATAGAAAGGGAAGAGCTACACCACTTTCAAGGGTTTCCCTTTCTTTACTTTATAACTAGCAATCACATAGAAGAATATTTTCTTTTAAAAAATTAGGCAACGTCTTTGGGGGTCCCCAGAGGAGATCCAAAAATAATTGGCCACACTACACTCTATTCCCACTGAAATCCCTAAGGATATTTAAAAAACCCAAAACATTGCAGAATATATAACGCAACAAAAATATCTAAACCAGTTAGTTTCTCTCCCTGTGTTAGTTGTTACAACACCAAAGCACGCTTTAGTAGGAGAATCATGCTGGTCAGAAGGGGCCTCCAGAGGTCACCTCTTCCAACCCATTATTCAGACAAAGCCCAAGGTGGGTTGTCAAAGCCTTGTCTAGGTGCAAGGATTACTGGTGGGACCATAGTAAGACCTTAGGATTGCAAGCAACCCTAATGAGATTAACTGAATAACCTACCTGGAAAGGGCTTTTCAAGGAAGTGTCCTTTGATGGTTTGGTTGGCTGAGCCCAGCTGGTTGGTGGCCACAATCGTGTAGTTGCCATTGTTGTAGTGAGTGGGTTTGTTGAAGAGCAGGCAACCCTCAGACACTTCCCCTTGTTGATAAAACTCCATGTGGATGATCTCTGTCTCCCGGAGGACCTGCCCATTGTGCAGCCAGTGAAGGGTGGGAGCTGGATTCCCATGCACTGCAAATGCAATGCAGTGCTCCAGGTGTAGCACTGGCTCCTCCAGGGTTAGGATGCGAGGCGGATCTAGCAAAGAGAAACATGGCAGGCTCACAGCACACCTCCACCCATATGATGTCTCTGTGCACCATGGAAATCAAGATTATTGAAAATGCAACCTCCAAAATCCATTGTTCCTGCTGTTCTTCCCATGGATGTCTGCAAAGCAGCAGCGCTAAGTCACAAGAACCATGCCACGCTCCCCAGAACGAGGATCTGAACCATAGACAGTTATCTCGAGCTTGTGACCAAGGGGTACAAATTAACAACAGGGATGATCCTTTCACCAGTCCAGAAACAATTTAGCTTGGAGTTGCCTGGTCTACACACTGACTGCTGCTCTCCTTCCCTCAAGGGATCAGAGGGAGGCTGCCTGTCCCCATTAAGGAGGACACTGTGACATAGCACTGCTACACTACACATGTGCAAGGTGCCCTTTGGGGGGTCTTCAGCCACACTGAGCAATTTTGGATTGCAAAGATGTGGAAGTAAACATCCCTCAGTGACTGCTTGTCCTTGGGGATTTCGATTACCTGAATATCCCAAAGGAGTTCTCACCCGCTGAACACCTTCCAGGGGTGTTTTAATTAAAGGAAGTTGAGTGGGAGAGGGAAAAGAAAAGCAGAGACTCCACCGCAATTTATTGCATATGCATTGTCTTTTCCCCCTCCCGAGGACATCCCAAGAATTCAAATGTTGCTGTGCCAGCACTTCTGAAATCCCATGTACAACGCCTACACGTAAGGTCCCAAACCCCAAAGCTGACAAGGTCTGAACTAGAAGAACAGACTTTTGTGCAAAGGACACACAAAGATGTGGATCTTCCCTAAAACTCTCCTTTTCCTGGTACCGTCCAGCTGCAAAGACAGTCCATGGGGCATCTACAAGGAACAAAAACAATGCACCAACATTGGCCCATCTTTTGGAAAAAAGACAGTGAATTTTTCAGGCAGTGAAGATTATAGAAAAAACAAAAGGGTACAGAGCTGGTTGGAACTGAGCAAAATTCTCCCACCAGCACCCAGCTACCCTGAACCACACAACGGTGTCCCAGCCACCTTCTTTCACTCACAAGCCTAGATCTGCATGTGGCTTGTTCACATCTTCCTAGGAGAATTCAAAACAGGCAGCCACCTACATGCACAAACCCAGATCGTTTCAGCATGAAATTACAACCCGAGTGATGGGTCTGGGCAACAAGAGCAGGGGTAGCAGAAACTGTCAGCAGCTTAGAGGATTACACGGGTAGAAATAGGCATGGTGCTGTTTTAAGGTGTGGAAGAAAAGATGCTAAAACACAGTGCAAAAAACACCTCCGTGCTGACCAGTCACCCCAGAGCCGACACAGACTTTAATTATCTCCATTCCTCAATCCATCCATAGTACTTATTGGAAGAAAGATGAAAGTAGTAAAGCATCTACTCCCCTCTTCCCAATCCCTTGTGACCCCATGTCTTTACAGTGGCTCCTGCACTGCGCTGGACGTACAAAATGCACGGGTTCACCAAGACTAGCCAGAATCCCGCGTGGGTCTCCGCTCTACCTGGCAGAGTCGGGGGTGGGCAACAGATTTGCAGACTAGGTCAAATATTACAGACACAGCAACATATAGTAAATCTCAGCTGCTTGAGAGCACAAAGCTGTGTAAACTTCCTCTTAAGGTCAGGTTTGTGTTAAGTTATATTAGAAAGAACAGAGAAAGTTTAGCTACTTGTATCTAAAAGTGAACAGTTGAAATTTGACATGTGTGTGTTTACACGGCGTTTGCAGTTTAACTTTGTAGGAACAGATCTGGGAGGAAGCACTAGCAGCCCTGAAATCAGAGGCAAGATTTACACTGGCTTTAGCAAGAATGACATTTCACCTCTCATGTGGCATCACGGCGAGAAACTCTGTGTTTGTAAACAGAGTTTTAGCCCTTCTGAGGCTTTTCCTTACTCTGCTGGATCTTCCAAGCAATGAGTGGAGGGATGTCAGTGTGGCACTGCTGCACCTCCCCTTCTCTAGTGCTCATTTCTGCATTAATGGAAGCAGCAGGAAAGCAAAAATACTGACCCTTAAGAGAGAGCCATGCAAGTTTCCTCCTCCTCCTCGCTGTGCTCAGCTCCTAATCCTCACCCACAAAACCAGTAAGCCACAGGCAGCAAGTGGCCATGCATTCACACAGTTCCAAGGGCAGCCCTCCAGCCTCCTTACAGTTAAGGTCTCTCCTCTGCTACTTACAGTAGACGGTGAGCAGCACACTGGCATTGCTCATCTTCACCACGTTCTCAGCAATGCAGGTCAGCAGG